TATTAAATTATTTAATGTTATATATGTTACTATTTTTTTTTTATTTTTTTTTATTTTTTTTATTTAAATTAAAATTTTAAAGAGATTTTATTTTAATTTATTTTTATTTAAATTAAAATTTTAAAGAGATTTTGTTTAAAAACACCAATACACAATCAAAATTTATGAGTATACCAAAACAAATCAAATTTTATGGATGTAAAAAAAATTGCTAGTTTTTTTAGGTGAACAATAAGTTATCCATGGAACTTTGTTGGTACAGACACCTATATAAGATGGATGATTCAGATAGATTTATGTGTAATTGTAATTACATGTCATTTTTAAATATATTTTAATAGAAGTTTTTTAAATTAATTTTTTAATTTAAAAATCAATATAATAAATTGAAAAAAACAAATATTTATGCTTTCATATATTTATTTTCTGTTCAAAAATACTAGATTATTCAATTTTAAAAAATCTTAATACACACATATTTACAATTCAAGGATATTTCTTAGAGTTAGCTTAAAAAGCTGTCTCAATTTTTTTCAAAGATTTTGAATGGATTAGTCATAATTTAATCATAAAAGATAATATATATTTTATTTAACTATTATTGTTTAACTATTATATATATTTTATAAAATTTTAATTAATCACAAATTAACTGTGACAAATTTAATACAATGTATGGTAGTTCTCTTTGTATGGTACAAAGGCTATTCGAAAAGACAAAAAAAACTTATACTTCCTCTGATCTATAGTATAAATTATTTTGTTAAAAATAATTTTAAATTATAAATTATTTTACCATTCTAACACAACATTAATAATATTTTTTATTTTTTTGTCAACATCAATAATATTTTTTCAATATACATCTATCATTTATTATTATTTTTTCTAATTCTTTAAATTTCTTTTTAATAAACAAAAAAAAAAATATTATAAATTCATACCTAACTTATCTTTTTCATACAATATTAATAACATTTGTTAATTAGCTTGAAATGTGTAAGTCATTTTATACTAATTTGAAATGGAAGAAGCACATAATATCTGTCCAGTAAAAATTGAAACGGTTGTGCATGTGCTTGACAGAGATCTACAATGATGATTTATTGATGTTGATTTGACATTTTATTCTTTGGGCCCTTTAGAACTCAAATATAGATGCATATATTCCAACACATCTAACTATCAAAGGCCTCTTAACAATTAAACTAACATATCAATTAATATTTATTTTATTCATTTTTTAAGTGTTATTTAATTTATAGTTAAAAATACTAATGAGTAAATTAATTTTAAACTATATTTAAAATATTATCAAATAATAATAATAATTTTTCATTAAAATTGTAGCTACATTATTCTTCATTCCTTGAAAGAATGGAACAAAAGATTGGTATTTTCTTTGATGAATTTAAGATAGCCAAAATTAGTTATAGGCACATTTGTGCCATCATAATTAAACATCCATACCAAACCCAACAAAAAAGACCTATACTACTCACTTTCATCTGGCCCATGCATACTTAAAAGTCTAAACAAACCAAATATTTAGAGACAATTAATAAATAACATCTACTCTTGTATTATAGACTTTTCTTACAAAGAAAAAACTAGGCCTCGGCACTTGGCAAAATATTTGTCATGATTAAACTATAATAAAATAGAATTTCTATTTATTTTATCGTAGTTAAATCAGAGACTTCGAAAAACGGCTTTATAGAATATATAATTGGTATTCATTGCATTACATGCATTACAGGTAGACTATCTAGAAACGTTATCATGTCTGGAAATGTGCTTTTAAATGGAAAGAAAAGAAGTCTGGACTATGGAGTTGTAGTAAGTAACTTATATGAATCTATCTTTTAATAATTTCTTGTTATATACAATTAAGAATTAATTTTTCATAATAATAACATGTTTTTATGTATCAAACACTATACAGGCTTATGTGACACAAGAAGACATAATGTTGGGAACACTAACAGTCAGAGAGACAATATCATACTCAGCAAATTTAAGGCTTCCAACAACAATGACAAAACAAGAGATAAATGACATTGTTGAAGGAACAATTACTGAAATGGGTCTTCAAGATTGTGCTGATAGGCTCATAGGAAATTGGCACTTGAGAGGTATAAGTGGTGGAGAAAAGAAAAGACTAAGCATAGCACTTGAAATATTAACAAGGCCTTGTTTATTGTTCCTTGATGAACCTACAAGTGGTTTGGACAGTGCTTCAGCTTATTTTGTTGCTCAAACTTTGCGAAACATTGCTCATGATGGGAGAACTGTGATTTCTTCTATTCATCAACCGAGTAGCGAGGTTTTTGAATTGTTTGATGATCTCTTTCTGCTTTCTGGAGGTCAGACAGTTTACTTTGGACCCGCTGAAAATGCAGTTGAGGTACTTTTTGTGTTGGCGCCGGATTACATGTTGCGTTTGTTTAGAGTTTAGAATAAACTCTGATATAATTTTTATGCAGTTCTTTGCGAAAGCGGGATTTCCATGCCCGAGTAGAAGAAACCCTTCTGATCATTTCCTTCGCTGTATTAATTCAGACTTCGACACTGTCACGACTACTATGATGGCTTCCCGAGGAACACATGTATATAACGATCTGTTTTATAATTTATTGATCTGTTGAACTGTAAACAGACAACACCTGTGGTTGGATCGTAGTTTCATCCGGTTTGAGCGGTTCAAAATAGTTGAACTGTTATTGAGACGTGTCTTTGGTACTATATTAAACTAATTCCTTTGAATGCAGGAACAAAAAACATTATCGACAGCAGCGACCAAAGCAGTACTCGTAGAGAAATACCGTTGGTCAGAATATGCAACTTGTGCAAGAGCAAGAATCAAACAAATGTCGAACTTTGTAAGTAGAATTTTACACATAGGATGATGTAACTTGTAACCTAAGTCTTCTATGATAACATGAACAATTTTACTAAATGAAATTATAAAGAACGAGGAATCCTGTTAATTACAGGACGGGCGTGATTATGAAAGTAAGAGCAAGAGCCAAGTGAAATGGTGGAAACAACTATCAACTTTGACTCAGAGATCTTTTGTGAACATGTCTAGAGATGTAGGGTACTATTGGATAAGGTTAACAATCTATGTTGCTTTATCTTTGTGTGTTGGAACAATCTTTTTCCAAGTTGGTTCAAGTTATCAAGCCATTTATGCAAGAGGAGCATGCGGCGCTTTTATATCAGGTTTCATGACATTCATGGCCATAGGAGGATTCCCATCATTCATAGAGGAAATGAAGGTATCGAATCAAATGCTGCGCCGAGCACTAATATTGTCGTCTCGAACACTTAGTGACGAAGCTAAAGACATGTTTTCTATGTTGCAGGTCTTCTATAAAGAAAGGCTGAATGGATATTATGGAATTGCAGTCTACGTTCTGTCGAATTTTCTCTCTTCTTTTCCTTTTGTAGCAGCGATGTCCTTTGCTACTGGGACGATAACATATTATATGGTTAAGTTTCGTCCCGAGTTTTCACGTCTTTTGTATATATGTTTGGATCTTTTGGGATGTATTGCTGTTGTGGAGAGCTCAATGATGATTATAGCTGCATTGGTTCCCAACTTTCTTATGGGATTGATAATTGGAGCAGGTTATATTGTAAGTGTACCATAACCCTTTATATATTTTTTCATTAAAAATATTTGGCTCTAACCACTATTACTTATAAAACCATAGGTAATTATGGTTGCTAATTGAGATATATTGTGCGCAGGGTCTTATGATGATGACTGCTGGCTATTTCCGGAAAATCCATGATCTTCCTAAATTCTTCTGGCGTTACCCGATATCATACATCAATTATGGAGCGTGGGGATTGCAGGTAAATTTATGAGTATCAACATTTTTAAAACAACTATACGTAAACATTATATAAAAGTTCAAACTTACGTCCCTGTAGTCTAATGTATCTGCACAACTATCAACTGAGTTATAAACTCTTCTAAACACTTACATGTATATGTCAATTGCAACTTTGAATGTGTTAGTTTATGACATAACCTTATTGATTCTGGGGAATGCGTGCAGGGAGCTTTCAAGAATGACATGATTGGGATGGAGTTTGATTCGTTCATAGCTGGTGGACCAAAACTGAAAGGAGAAATAATCCTCACAACAATGCTTGGAATTAAGGTTGATTATTCAAAATGGTGGGACTTAGCTGTGGTCATCTTCATCCTCGTGTTGCTTAGAGTTATTTTCTTTTTCATTCTCAAGTTTAAGGAGAGAGTTGTACCTTTCCTTCATAGTATCTACACAAAGCAAACTCTGCAACGAATCATGAAACGGCCTTCGTTCAGAAAAACTCCGTCGTTCGCGTCCAAGAGACACCAACCAATGCATCCATTGTCTTCTCAAGAGGGTCTCAACTCTCCATGTCATTAGAATTCCATTGTTTCCTGATATAAATACACAGTATTCATACACTATATATACCCCCAACATTATTATATTATAATGCATTTGGAAATACTGTTTATTTCTGAATTATATTATAACTTTTTGCCATCTTCCATATAGTTTTATTTTTTAAATAATAAATTTCGCAATTATTTATAGAAATAATAGATTTATTACAGTTAGTACTTGGCAATCATATATCACTGCAAATGTTGCATTCCCCTGGGCATATCATTTCATCAGGAGTCTGATCTTAGTTATACCACCATAAGAACTAGCTTGATATATTTTTGTGTAGTTATCAAACAAATGATTCATGCATCTGTAACTAGATGGCTACAAATATCCAGAAGGACAGTGCCTGAGAAACTACAAAATATCTGACTAGACCCTTGAAAAGTATAAGAATTTTCCATGGATTCTTGGTAACACCTTTGTAAGTTTACACCACTAACCTAATCTTTTAAGAATCAACCTAATATAAACTAAAGTTATAGTAGAATATGAACCCATCCATCTGTGCGGCAAATATACTTGCCAAAAAATTTGTAGCCCATGCTACTCTTCATTCGATTTCTTCTCAACCGACTCTTCATTCGATTTCTTCTCAACCGACTCTTCATTCGATTTCTTCTCAACCGACTCTTCATTTGATTTCTTCTCAACCGACTCTCCATTGGATTTCTTCTCAACCAACTCTCCATTGGATTTCTTCTCAACCGACTCTCCATTGGATTTCTTCTCAACCGACTCTCCATTGGATTTCTTCTCAACCGACTCTCCATTGGATTTCTTCTCATCAGACTCTCCATTGGATTTCTTCTCATCCAATTCTCCATTTGATTTCTTCTCATTTTCAACGTGATTGTCAAAACCATGATGAGGAACTTCAATCATTGGCTTGGGAATTGGCCGTTCATTGAAATTTTCAGGAAAAAATTCAAAGTCAGGACCAAAGTTGAACTTTACTGTGCAGTTTGGTTCATTTGGCAGAGTATACATTGAAGCAGCAGGATAGTAACGACCACCATAGAGGTCCTTGAAAGCAACGCCTTGGCATACACCATTTTTAAAGAAAGACATTTCACTTCCTGCACAGGGAAGAGTTGAAACCGAGTGAATTTTCATTCCATACTCAAAATACAACTTATAGCAAAGGAAGTTTAACAGTTATCCAATAAGCAAGGGATATAGTTGTTCAATCAATGGCCATAGCATTTCAATTGTAGAGGTATGGTGTTTCGAGAGCTTGAGAAAATAGTTCATTGTAAGTGTATTAAATTGCTTTCAACTTATATTCACAAACTTTCAGATATAAGTAAAGTGACTTATAGAAGCATTTCGTACACAGTTCATGCAGAATTTTCTCATTTATTTTCAATTATAGAAACATGTACATAATCAATTGAACGAATAAACTGTGTACCTAACAGCAACCTATATATCGTGACCAATAGGCTCTGGCAATTTTCCAAGCTATTGAGGTTCCCATCCCAAGTATCAAGCACCCACATAACTCCCAATTAGTGAATATTCAGACATTGAGATTAAGGAATTCAAATTGCTATGTACCCTAAGACTAAGACAGAAACGCGGCAGATCTACATAATCAATTGAACGAATAAATTGTGTACCTAACAGCAACCTATATATCGTGACCAATAGGCTCTGGCAATTTTCCAAGCTATTGAAGTTCCCATCCCAAGTATCAAGCGCCCACATAACTCCTAATTAGTGAATATTCAGACATTGAGATTAAGGAATTCAAATTGCTATGTACCCTAAGACTAAGACAGAAATGCGGCAGCAGCATTGCACATAGAACCAAATCAGGATCAAATTACGATCACCTTCGAATAATGTATTTAGTGGGTTTATTGTCTGACAACTATAACTACCGGCCAAAAATGCATTGGAGGCATCTAAGTTATTGAAAAATGTCACACCCGTGACTAAGCCAATCAATATACTCAAGAGCATTGATCATGAAATAACACAACATTCAGTAGGCTTTAGATGTACTATGATTTTAAAAAGTATTGAAAAACAAAATACAGAGTTCCAAAATGAAGTCCTCAGCAGAATTATAGCTAGCATACACTTGAATGGAAGTGGTGGATGCATATGAGAATTTCCTCACTCCCAACGTGCGGATGCCAAGTTTTAGATGGTGTTTTCATAATTCTACTCAGTCTTGCTAAATGTGTTTTTAAGAAAAAGAAAACCTTGTGGTCACACTTCTATCTAATCTTTGTTGCAAGTTTCTGGTATGCAAGGGGTGGAAGTTTTTGGCATAATCTCTCATCTTCTATCTCAGGTCATGTTTATGTCTTTCTGTTCATTCCCTCTCTTGTTTTCTCTTTTGGATGATGTAGTCTCTGTTTTATCAAATCTCAGAAATTGTTTGAGTGCAAAAACACTTCTTTCATTCGTTTATTGTTCTTCATATAAGCTGTTAACATCTTTTAATTTTTGTTCTGAAGGTCCTTTCATTATGGATTTTTCGTCTGAGAGAATATTGTATAAATTTTTGTCTCTACAAAACCCAAATACATAACGCGATATAGGCACAATATGGTACAGAAAACTTTAGAAAAACAATAGACAGAGTATACTAGGTTCGCTAATATATTAAGAAAGTAACTCGGCAGAGCACTCTGCCAGGTTACGAACTTGTGGCAGCGAAATAAGAACACAGCAACTCAGATAAAAAACATGAACCAGCAGATGCACAAGATAATAGAGCATGAAAGGAACTTTAGACTTATTTCAATGAGAGCACACGACAATTCAGCAAGAAGCAAATGCAAACCAGAGATATGATGACCCCAGCAGATGCATGCAATTGCAAGCCCTAGTTGCTAAGAAGTAGGTCTATTATGCAATGCAGTGTGATTTAGGAATGAATGGTAAACTTGTTTTCAGTGAAGAACACAAGCTTTGCAACGGTGCTATAGACATTGTTCAGTCGATCCTCTCATAAAAAATTATTACATTTCATCAATAGATATAATAAAGCAGTTACATAAGATATCTTTTTGTAGAATTTCAAAGAAGAACAAGACAGGCTTGGATTTAAGGAACATGACATAAGTTTGTCCATATTGAATTTTAGCTGAGTCATAGCCATAGCCATACCCATATCCTGAGTGGTGAGTTGAATAAGAAATATTTTCAGAAAAAAAAACATTCAAAGGTAACTGCATACTTTCTAGAGGGCCACTAGAATGTTTCGTAGCACAAGTGTTGGTAGCATCTTCGGATTTAGATATTTGTTGGGCATACATTTCCATTTTTATGTATATGAAGTTCATAGGGTTTCACTAACTTCAGAGTGTAGATATACATACAGAAGGGACTCCATAACCAAGTTCACACAGTCAAGGATCAAAAAAATTGTTTCAGTCCATGTATTCACTATCCTCACCCCTAAAAAAATGAACTATCAATTTGGCCCTTAGATGATAAACTGGTAAAAATAAATTCTCAGTATCTAGCATCTACACTCTACTCTACAGTTTAATACTATCACAAGGTAACCAATCAATCAAACATAAAATAGATGACAAAATAGAAAAGCATAGAAACAAAACCAAAGAGTTGAAGACTAACCAGGCACAACTTTGGGTGGATCTTCCTTAGCATCTTGAGCAAATGCATACCTTTGTCCTTTATACCAAACCAACTGCTTGTTTTTTGGCGCATACTTATCGCCATCAGGCAAATTAATATAGAACCCAATAACATCACCTTCTTCATAACCTTCATCACCATACTTTTCCCTCAAAGCCTTATGAATCTTACTACCATCAATATCCCTATACCCAAAACTATTCCCATCATACCCAACAGGTGCCTGCAAATCACCCTTCTCCATAGCCCAACCTAAACGTGTGTGTCCAGTCTCCCCTAACCTCACAAGCTTTATCTCAAAGTACCAAGCTCCTTCAACTACCCCTCTCGTTGCCTTAACCATTCTATAACCCTTCGTGCTCCCGGCACTCAACCTATCCTCACTCAACTCTACTTTCTCCGCTTTGTATATCTTTGAAAGACATATCTTCATATCCGGTGTATCGTCCGTTTTATCAGGGAACCTCGGTACCGGAGTTACCAGAACGCTGTCTTCTCCACCATTTGTTTGGTTGTTGTTGTTGTTATTGTTGTTTTTGCTTTTCTTTTTCCCTTTCCTTGTTGATTTTGTAGCCCACACATTGTTGTTCTTTTTCTTTGATTTCTTCACAGTTCCATTTGCCGGCGTCGATGTTGTTGCAGTTGACGCAGCAACATTTCCTGTCCCGTTGATTTCCTCCGGCATTGACACCGATTCACCCTTGACGAGATTCAGAGAGGACAGCTGTTTCTGCTTCTTCGGAGGCGGTTCTTCTTCATCTTCATCGGCATCTCCTCTACTCAGTTTCGAGGAATTCAAGCCGTTTGATGCAGCTTCGTCGGAGGAGGGATCATCGGAGGGATCGAGCTCCGATTTGCCATCGTTCTGGGGTTCGGTAAGAGTGTCAGAAGGAGTGCTTGAAGTAACAAGAGGTGCGTATGTTGATTCCATATCGGTGGCGACAGAGGCAGCGGGTTGGTCAGCGGTGGGTGCGGCCGTTGTTGCGAGTGGAAGGTCTTCATCTTCATCTTCTTCGTCTTTGTATGTTGCTTGAAGTGTATCCATTGGAATTAGGGTTTTGAGTGGAAAGTATCGGAGAGATTCAATCTGAAAAGGGAGGGTGATTCCGATGAGAGGAGAAGGAGGAGTGAATAGGGAGAGAATAGAACAAAGTGGTGAAAAGTTGGACGGCCCGATTTGGGTTGGGTATTTGCTTTGAAGGCCCAACGGGCCAATAAAATCACTCGAGGATTTAACCCGAGAATTTATATGAGAATTTCTTATTACATCCTATATATTTTTAATGCGTTATGCAAATTTTCACATTTATTTTCAAACTTCGATGAGATATTTTTGGACACACCTTTTTTCATATTTAAATAAGGTCATTCTGAATTACGCCCTATATATTGGATTAGTTTTATTCTTGAGATATATCTCCGGGACGTTTTATAGAAAAAATATTATTCAGTTCATTAAATATTTTAGAGATGCATCTCAGGAATTATGGGCGGCATTTTGAAATTTTCTGTCACCTTTGCATGTCAGGTATTTCCGGAGATTCATCTCTGAAAATATTTGATATAACTTCTAGTTGTATGATCAGTCCTCCATTGTTGTCATACTTCATTCTCAACTAAACTCTCACCCTAAAATCCATTCATTCTCAATCCACATTTTTACTTCAAATCTCCATCCTTTTTGTTCAACATATCACAGGGAGTAAAAGAAGATAATTTTTTTTTTGGACTGATAAGATAATTTGTGCGTGGACTGATAATGTTAGACACTTTGAAAATACAACTACTAACAGAGTTGAGTAGGCTTGTGCTACTTTGAAAAATTGGTTGGAAAATAATAAAGGGGATTTGTGTAGAGATTGAGACTCCATTAACCACATGATTCAAAACCATCATAATGAGATACAAACAACATTTGGTCAGAGCATCACGATTTTGGAACACAGATTTAAAGACAACACTTTATATTTTCAGTTTGTTGGTAACATTTTTCGGACGGGTTTGAACTATATTTTTCACGAGGCTAAACGAGCTGATAATGTAAGTTCTGATAGCGCAAAGTGTGGTTGCATTATTGTGAAAATATATGGTCTCCCAAGTGCTTGTACTATTGTTAAAATGATGAAACTTGGTGAACCAATAAGAATGGAGGAGGTTTGTTCTCATTGGAAGAGACTTAGGTTTGATGATGATGGATGCATGGATAACGAGAAATCAAATATCTCTAATTTGACCAAATGGAAAGTGATACAAGAGAGATTTTTGAAGACCGATGACAACATGAAACTCCACATCAAAGAACAATTGAGGAAGATTGTCTATCCTGAAACCACCAACATGAAACTGCCTTGTCAACTGGTAAAAACAAAAGGTGCTCCAAAGAAAATGAAGCCTACACCAAATGACAACTCGACTACAAGGTATCCTTCATATTTTGAACACATTGACAAAAAATTTCCCGACTCACCAATTACAAAATCTCAAAAAAGTGTTACAAAAGGAAGCCACATTAGCAAACCACCTTCGACGCCACATCCACTGAAGATTCTATTCATCGATGAGATATCGGTTTTTATGCACAAATATATCGAGCGGATCGTCAATTTTATGGGGGACGGTAATTGCAGTTACCGATCCGTGTCAGATTTACTCGGTAAAGGAGAAGATAGTCATGCACTTGTCCAACATCAATTTATCCAAGAGTTGAAGACGCATAAAGAATCGTATACGAGGTTATATGGAAATAAAGAAAAATTCAATGTAGTTTATGAGTCTTTTGTTCCTTGCTTGAGCTGTCCGGCAACAGAGGCAAAATGGATGAGCTTCTCGAAAATGGGTCACCTAGTAGCATGTGCATATGATAGAGTGTGTATTAACCTAACACGCTACGGTTTTTCGGAAACCTTTTTTTCCATTACGCACCTCCCCACCCCAAAATTCAAATGATCGTATCATGTGTATTGGATAGCTTTCAAAATCGAGTCATTTTGTTCAAGTTTACTTGAAACCGGGATGTCCTATACCATTCACATCACCAGAGTGGAAGGCTCATTCAACCGCAAAAGTCGAGACGTGGCCGGATTATTTTATGGAAAGGATGTAAAAATTCGAGAGATTGAACAACATTGAAAAAGAATCGAATGCACAAAAGTCCAAAAGGGTACCACCTATAGATTTAACCGGCGACGCATGTTTCGATTCGTTTTAAGTTTTTGTTTAACCGAAAAAATAATTGTATGTAATTGTGTCTCTATATAAATAAAGTGTTATATATTCATAGTTTGTTCATATTTTGGCTTTATGCATTTTTTTTATCTACCCCATAACAACATATGTGTTTTTGTTCAATGGAAAAAATAGTTTATGTTTATGTTCTATTTTGAAACTGGTTCGGGAGAAGTTCCGAAGATGCATCTCTAGAACAAGATAATATAGTGTATTTTCGGAGATATATCTCTGGAACCAATGTGCTAGTTAATGAAAGGTCCATATTGATCTTTGTCTTCTATAAATTTAGGTGTTATAGTGCTATATTTCAGACAAACTCAAAATGTCACAAATAAAAATTGATTGGTATGTCGCAAATGTGTCTTTCTCCGGTTCTACACCCGGGCGAACAATTAAGCTCAACTACTTAACCCCCTTGAAGATACCAAAGACAAAATCCAGGATCTCCTACCTTACTGAGACAATCGAAAGATTGTGAAGCTCGAGTACTGTTCACCTTCGATTGACAACGAAGAGAAGCTTCAATTCACCAAGTTTGAGCTCAAGAAGCAAGTGGATGTTATGGATATATGGGATACATTTTTTTAGGTTTCAATGAGAAAATTCTACTTGAGTTAGAAGCAATGATACAAAGATCGGTCAAAGATAACCTAAAGATGTGCAAGCATCCACCGCAATATTGAAATGTAATATTGAATTTTTCTCTTGAAATCATCATTATAATTATCATTTTATGTTATGAATGTCAATTTTATTTTGGATCTGTTGATTTTGTTTTTGGTGTGAATTCGGAGATGTAAGTATGAAATTATTTCGGAGATACATCTCTGAAATAATTTAAACCAAATGATAGGGCGGATCTCAAAATGGCCTTTGTATGGTGTGTGTTAGGTGCGCCAAGTGATGCATCTCTAGAAATGGGGGCATATTTTGAATTTTGTGTGGTATATTACAAACATATAGGGTGCTTTAAGAAATTCTCAGTTAACTTGCCACCTCCATTTATACTTGGCACCCCAAGTTTCAAATTTCCAAAACTATCCATGACAAAAAATTAAATCAAATTACCGTACAAAATTTTCGGTAGGAAAAATTAGAATTTTCGATATAAACTAAGATTTTGATAGTGCATTTTAAATTCCCGGTATACCAAGATTTATGAAATTTTTGTGAAGTTAGGTTCAAATGGAGGTGGCAAGTTAAAAAGGATTTAACTTGCCACCCCTTCCCCACACACACATTTTGTATGAATAGACAATACTGTCCATGCAACAACTTTTCACTCGCTTTCGAAATTCACCTCTCACACGCGCGTGAATTGGATTCTCTAGGGTGATACCGAAAAATTCAATTGTTTTATCGAAAATTTGAAAAACACTATGTCTTTTTTACCGAAAATTATGATATTTGCGTGATTTTGTAGCGAAAATTTCAAAATTTAGGGTAATAATGAAAACATTTTCACTGGAAATTTCAAAATTTAGAGTACAAAATCACCTACAAATTCCCCAAATTTTTAGAATTTTCTGTAGTTATAAAAACTTTGTTTTTTACTAGGAAATTTAGGGAAAATTTAAATTTAGTGAAATTTCCGATAGTTATTAATCTTTTTTATTTTTTCCATCTTTTGCAATGAAATACAAGGGTAGGGACGATACTATTGCAGGTAGAGCGGCAGACCGGGCTAGGGTTGAGTCTTCTTAGATACGTGTTGGATGAGTGGTTCAAACCGGTTCACATCTAAAATGGTTGGTTGAGCAGGGGCAGCTCTGCGCACCACGTAGCACCCTACATCAGGCAATTAGATCAGTTGAGCAGCCCAGAGATGATGTTGAGGTTGTTCATACCCAGGATGTTCACGACCCAGTAGTCGAGACAGATGTGTGTCATACCCCTAATTTGTCCTACTTTCTTTTTTCTTCTTGTACTAAGCATTTGTGTGGATTCATCATGGAGGTTTTTTTTGGCTCATGGTGATCACAAGCTCTTACGAGTATGTTGAATTCAAATGGAAAAAAGAGAAGAGATATGTCCTAATTACCATGATTAATTCATTTCAAAGCATGATCAATTGGCTTCAAGTTGATTTTAAGACATTCCAAAATGATGTTAGGTCATATTTCAAGTTGATCTAATGCCATGATTAGAATTTATTTCCTCAATCCATACTTAAGATTGTTTCAAGTTTCAAGATCAATTTGTGGCAACCTTTGACTTAGTTTGTTTCAAGGTGGTTTTAAGTTGCGATCAAAATTAGCCAAGTTATTATTCAAGTGGTTTCAAGATGTTTCTAAGGTATATCTCAAAAAGATATTTTGGTCGTGCCTCAAGTCATATGGTTCATGCCTATTTACAAGCCATGAGATAAACCTATCCAATCATGATTTAAAATGGGCCATGCCTAGGATTGCTTCAAGCTCCAAGCCTTGTTTCGTTGTATGATCGATTGGAAACAAATTGTGACCTAATTTGTCAATCCCAAGTTATATTACAAAAAGACATTAAGGTCTCATGGCCATGCTTATTTCAAGTATTTGAATTGGTACAAAGTGAGGTGTTAATGTTGGGATATATGCAAGTAAGTGAATGTGAGAAAATACTTAGAAGGGGGGGTTGAATAAGGATTTTGAAAATATTATGGCAATAAAAACACAAAGATTTTTATCCTGGTTCGTTGAACTCAACTACTCCAGTCCACCCTATCAAGAGTGATTTGCCTTTCTCCACAAGGACTTAATCCACTATAATCAAACTGATTACAATAACAACCACTAAGAACAACTGTCTTAGTCTTCTCAAGAACTACTGACCACAACT